GGTTTAGGGGTTTAGGGGTTTAGGGGTTTAGGGTTTAGGGCTTAGGGCTTGGGGCTTGGGGCTTGGGGTTTCGGGTCGGGTTTCGGGCTTCGGGCTTCGGGCTTCGGGTTTAGGGTTTAGGGTTTAGGGTTTAGGGTTTAGGGTTTAGGGTTTAGGGCTTAGGGTGACCGGAGACCAGGATGGCCTGATGGTTCTTCGTGGGAATGAGGGAATGAGGTACCCTATAGAATCCCTTAAAGGGTATTTCTAGGGTCCCACATTCCCTCATTCCCTACGAAGGGCCAGAAAAGTTTTGGGGGTGTTGGGGCATGCTCCTTTGCGGTTGCGGTTCGACGCTTGAATTGCCATGGAGGGCTTCACGAAACGCCTTATACAAGCAACTGCCAAGTGCCCTGAACCCTAAACCCTAAACCCTAAACCCTAAACCCTAAACCCTAAACCCTAAACCCTAAACCCTAAACCCTAAACCCTCATCAGAAGCCCTTTGGTGCAGAACTGGCGCGAGAACGGAGAGGCGGACGAGCTCAGCCTGGAGGACATAAACTTTTGGTCTTCATGAATGAAGCGGTAGAAAGGAATTAGGGTTTAGGGTTTAGGGTTTAGGGTTTAGGGTTTAGGGTTTAGGGTTTAGGGTTTAGGGTTTAGGGTTTAGGGCTTGTTGCCAGCGCATGCGATGGTCAACGTGAATTGTTGCGGGGCATGAGGTGGGGACGGTGGGGGTCTGTGGTTACAACTCTCTTTCGTTCCATCGTGGCTGGTGTCTGAGAGGGTGGTGCGATTGGTTCTGGCTTTTGTCTCTTAGGGTTTAGGGTTTAGGGTTTGGGGTTTAGTACAGGTATAGGGGGTCATTCAGCTCGGGCTTTGGGCCAGGACCACGAACGAAAGATCACGCCCGGGCAGCTGTCCACGATCAGCAATGAGCGCAGAAAGGCCAGAACGTCGATGATCGATGGTTATTTTGTGTAGGGTTTAGGGTTTTGGGGCCTCCCATCTCGAAGGGGCTGCGCCTACAGGCGCACAGCGCAGGCAGCACAGCTGCTTGAAACCGCTTGTGAGCGGAGAGGGAGCCCTCCCCCACCCCCCTCCCCCACCCACCCACAGACACAAACGAGGACCCTGAGCCAATGCCTATGGGGTCACTGGTGCTCATGATGCGCGCCCCCTCCCCCTCCCCCCCACCGAGCCGCTCATGCTCATGATGAGCCCTGCTGTGGCGCGAGAGTCGGCTTTCCAAGGCATGGACAACATGAAGCCGCTCTTCCGAAGGGACCTGGATGGGGGGGGGGGGGGGTAGTTTAGGGTTTAGGCTTTAGGGTTTATAGGGTTTAGGGTTAGGTTTTAGGGTTTAGGGTTTAGGGTTTGGGTCAGTGGGTAGGGGCGTATGGGGTCGCAGGCGGGGTGTGGTGAGCGACACGAAGGCTCAGGGGCATCCCAGGAACTTCTCTCACAAGTGTGTGGCACGCCGGCCCAGCCTAGAAACCCAGAGGCCATACTCCGCAAGGTTTCCCTAAACCCTAAGCCCTAAACCCTAAACCCTAAACCCTAAACCCTAAACCCTAAGCCCTAAGCCCTAAGCCCTAAGCCCTAAACCCGCATCGAGCCGAACCTGGAGTCTTGCGTTTTTTTTCAAGCCATCTTGCGATCTTGCAGACCTCCAAGCCAAGCGACCAGCCGAGGATGCCAATGTGTTTCAAACAAGTGGTTTAGGTTTTAGGGTTTAGGGTTTAGGGTTTAGGGCCGTTTAGGGTTTAGGGTTTAGGGTTTAGGGTTTAGGGTTTAGCGAAGCCAACACGCAAGACAAGGGAAGAGAGAGCCCTTTGTCGAATTTGAGTTCGGACGTCTCTGCACTCGACGTGAATAGCGCCGAACTCACCAGCTCGAATCCAGAAACCCCCCCCCCCCCCCCAAAAAAAAAAAAAAAAAAAAGTGGGCGCAGGCCATGGACGGCAGTTCAGAAGGAATCTGGGTATTTCTTGGAGAGAGATTTTGTCATCTTTATGGTCTCTTAAGCCCAGAGAGCACCCGCAATGATCACATCTTAGAAGGCTCCCATACGCAGCAGCTCTATGTCTCAGAGTAAGGGTTATATCCCTAAACCCTAAACCCTAAACCCAAAGCCTAAGCCCGAAACCCTAAACCCTAAACTAAAATTGGCTCCCTTTTGGGGTACCTGGGCCACCTTCTCATAAAGACCTTAAAAGGGACCATCTGTTTGAGACATGACCATCTATCTGTATCTATCTATCTATCTATCTATATATATATATATATTCACAGACACAGCTTTCTGTTACGTACATACATACATACATACATACAGACATACACATACATACACAGCTTAAGATAACTTATTCAGGCGAAGACTGCTACCGATGGCTCAGGATTAACAAGTCCGGCCCAGCGAAGCTCCCAGCGCAGCTCACGGACCTCCCAAAGATTGGAGCTCGAGCTTGCCGTCGGGCAGAAGCTTCGAGGATGAGATTTGGGGGGGGGGGGCGGGGGGTTTAGGGTTTAGGGTTTAGGGTTTAGGGTTTAGGGTTTAGGGTTTAGGGTTTAGGGTTTAGGACTTAGGGTCTAGGGGAAGATAGCGGACGCCTAAGATAGAAATGAAAGGGTTCTCTTAGAATCCCCAGACCCCTGGGAGGATCCAAGAAGTAGATCCCCTTTGAGGGTTCCTAAGCATGACCCCAAAGTAGTAGAGGGTACTTTTTTGGGGCTCTACTATTTTTGGATCCTCCCAAGGGGTTTGGGCAAGTACCCCAATAAGGTCAGACTCCAGAGTGAGAGTTGTAGGGTGAGAGTTAGCATAGTTGGGATGTCTGTCAAGGGCCTCAGATGTTATCTAGGGGGGGTCATTGGGTTTAGGGTTTAGGGTTTAGGGTTTAGGGTTTAGGGTTTAGGGTTTAGGATTTGTTCGTCGGGCCGCATGGGCGCTTGATTTGGGGGGCTGAAGGCGAATCGGATTCTGAGCGTGGGGATGCGTGGCCGAGGTCCGTATCTCATCTAAGCCCTAATTCCTGAACCCTAAACTCGAAACCCTAGACCCTAAACCCTAAACCCTAGACCCTAGACCCTAAACCCTAAACCCTAAACCCTACCGAACATGTCTCGCACCTCTGAGGCTGCGCGCGACCTCCCTGTTCCATGCACTGGAGTCCTTCGGACGCCATTTCGCCGCTACCAGCCTCGCAACGGCCAGCTTTTCGAGCACGGAGGCCCCTCAGCGTTTAGGGTTTAGGGTTTAGGGTTTAGAGGGTTGGATGGACTACCCAGACCCCTGGGAGGATCCAAGAAGTAGATCCCCTTAAAGGTTGCTAAGAATGACCCACTTAGTACAGGATTTTTTTTCGGGGGCGGTTCTACTTGTTGGAGCCTCTGTGAGGATTCTTGGGCAGGGTTGCTCAAGACCAGGAGGGGCTGTTGGAGCCCCCAAACAGACCCTGTAAAGGGCATTTTTCGACTCCATTCACAAGGGGGGTTTAGGGTTTAGCGTTTAGGGTTTAGGGTTTAGGGTATCAAGGGCATTTTCTTCTGCAAGGGAGATGGTCCCCCAGAATGGGGAACTGCCCACGCATAGCCCTAAACCCTAAACCCTAAACCCTAAACCCTAAACCCTAAACCCTAAACCCTAGAGGCAGACAAGCTGTACTTGAAGTCCTACGATGCGGAGCGCGTACACGTGTTCATCAGCCACTGCTGGCGCGATAGCCGTGCCTTGCCTTCTGTTCATGGACACTTAGGCTTAGTAGCTGAATGGGTACACGTTACTCTTTTTTGGGGTAGTAGGTTCCCCCAGAGAACTGAAAGTCTACACTGTTTTTTGGGGGCTTGTGAACTCAGCAACTAAGTCGTTTGTGTTGAAATCTGAATGAGATGGTTTCCACTGCTCAGTGCCTTAGTGATAGGGGGCATGCTGCACATGTCGGCAGACGCCAAGGCTTCGCCAAACTGGTCGCCCTATGGATTCGCTTCAACTTGCCGCCGTGCCTAATGCAGATCGCATGCCGAAGGGTTCACCAGCCATTAGAAAAACATAAAACGGAGTATCGACTACCTAGAGCCCCTAAAATAGCAGCCTAGGCCCTGCACTTCGAATTTGGGTCATTCTTAGGAACCCTTAGGGGGATCTACACTTTGGATCCTCCCAGAGTAGTCGATGACATGAAAGCAGAACTCAATGATTAGCAACCCTGAGGACTGAAATGAACCCTATCATTGGAGTCATGCTGCACACCCTGAATCGCTTGTCATCCCGATGAAGGTATATGAAGCCCTACACCCGAAACCCTAAAAAAACCAAACCCTTCTGCAGGTCCTGAACTCTAAACCCTAAACCCTAAACCCTAAACCCTAAATCCTAAACCCTAAACCCTAAACCCTAAACCCTAAACCCTAAAACCCAAACCCTTCTAGGGTTCATTGGGCCCCCAAGCCTCTAAGGGCGAGAGCGAAAGCCGAGGTACGGAGCCCTCCTGTGCACCAGCTTCGTTGGTGCGCCTTGGGAGTTCCGTGGTACCCTTTTTCCCTTTTCTATTGGTTCAAGGTCAGGTTCCCTCTATAAAATAGCCAACCTCTCCCGAAAAAAGGGTACCCTTTATTAAGAGGGTTTAGGGGGTTTAGGGTTTAGGGTTTAGGGTTTAGGGTTTAGGGTAGATGGCTACTGGGCTACGAAGGGCATCGTGGCCTGCTATTCCTTTACGATTCAAAAGCAGCGCGTCGCTGGAGAAATGCCGACTCCACATGTCCTCATTGCAGGAGCCTTGGCACCGATTTGCTTCCGATTCATTGCGGGCCTTGTTAGGGTTTAGGGTTTAGGGTTTAGGGTTTAGGTTTAGGGTTCAGGGTTTAGGGTTTAGGGTTTAGGGTTTAGGGTGTATGGCAGAGACCTGTTTTCTGCATCGTGGGTGGACTGCCCAGGCGTGTGCACGTTCTTTGTATCACTGGCATTTTGGCACCACATTCCTTTCCGATTGGGGCTGGGCATCCGCCAACCCAGCATGTTTTTTGACAAGTTGCCTGTAGGCTGCTTTCAGAAATGCTTTGCCTCTTCTGCTCTTCGTGACACAAGGAACTATAAGGGTTTAGGGTTTGATGGTGCTGCAGCCCCCATTTTCCCAAAGCAGACAAGGTGCGTGTACCAATACGACTCCGACTTGCGCCAGCAGGGTATAGACTCCTTCGCGGCGTACATTGCCCAGTGCGACGAAGTTCTCGTCCTGTGGAGCCCGGAGTACTTTACTAGGCTCGCGGTATCCGGGTTGATCTGCCAAGACAGCTCGACTGGTAAGGATATCGGATTTTCTCAAGATTGCCCAGTATCAACCCCCAAGCCGAAGCCCAAAAACCCAAAACGAAGCCCCCTTAGAAACCCGAACTAAACCCTAAACCCTATGCCTTGCCGGCCTTGAGCGAGTGTGAGAGTCGAAACCTGGAACAACCTCAGGCTTTGGTGTACACTGGAGATGGCGGCATCTTGGCAGCCCAGTGGTGCCCTTTACCCTTTGGTTGGTTTTAGGGTTTAGGGTTTAGGGTAGGGTTTACGGTTTAGGGTTTAGGGTTTAGGGTTTAGGGTCCCTTACCAAGTCACCAACCAAAAGCATAGGGGTACCCTTATCAGTATTTGGGTAGCCTCAAGCCCGACCCTAAACCTTTAAACCGGCTAAGGGTACGCTTTGGGATGTTCCCCTTATACTAACAGTCCTTAATAGGGATTATAATCGGGGGTACTATAATCCCTATTAAGGGCTGTTAGTATGAGGGGGAACATCCCAAGTACCCTTATTATCATAACCCTAAACCCTAAACCCTAAACCCCTTAAGGGTTTAGGGTCGCTACTGGGCGACGAAGGCACTGGTGAAGACCCACTCCGAGTCAGGCAAGCTGCCTCTCTACTTCCTGCCTTTGGGCTTGGCCAAGGCCTGGACTCATTCTATTCATTGCTTAAGAACCCCGGAACCCCGGAAAATATAAACATATGATTCCTTATTACGGGTAATGTAGTTTGTTTTTAGTTGTTATCCTTTTGAGGTTCTTAAGAAAACAGCAGCATTCGGGATCTCAGAGTCGCTGTGTAGGAAACCGGTGATCTTTTGGAGGTCTAATCCTGCCAGAATTGAATGGCTGTCCTTCTTTTGCCCTAAACCCTAAACCCTAAACCCTAAACCCTAAACCCTAAACCCTAAACCCTAAACCCTAAGTTTTTGGTCCAGGATACCCTGCAACTCGAGGGGCTTAGGGAGACCTATGCTGAGCTTAATCCTTTTCCCCCTTTTTACGAAACGCCCCCTAAACCCTAAACCCTAAACCCTAAACCCTAAACCCTAAACCCTAAACCCTAAACCCTAAACCCTAAACCCTAATAATAAAAACCGCATTCCGGAAAATCCTCCCGAAACCGAGAGCCCGCCGTTTAAACCCTATTCCGAATTAGGGGGGGGGGGCGGGGGGGTTCAGGCCTCCAATTAAATCCCTGAACACCAACAACACCCTCAGAGGGTTTAGGGTTGGGGGTCTAGGGTTTAGGGCTTAGGGTTTAGGGTTTAGGGTTTGGGGTTCTAAGGTTTAGGGTTTGGTGTTTCAAGCCTACACCTTAAACTCTTTTGGACCCCAAACATGACTTTTGGATAAACCCCCCCCCCCCCCCCCAATTATAAAAAACACTTTGCAGTTCCATTTAGGGGGGGGGGGGGAGGGGGGGGGAGGGGGGGGGGGGCGTGTGCAGCTTAAATAGGGTCTATTTGGAAGCTGAGACTCGGGTTTTAAAGAGGAAATAAGGCCCCAAAACGTATGCTTATTCACAAAAGCCATCTGCCAAATAGACCCTGTTGTCGTTTCTGGGGGTTCTGGGGCAAGGAATTAAATAATTTGCATAATTTAAATCCGAAAGGGGCGTTTCGGATTTAAATTATTTAAATTACTTAATTCTGGGAAGGGGGGGGGGGCCCGGGCCTGGCCCCCCCCACCTTTTCGGATTTAAATTATTTAAATTATGTAAATTATTTAAATTATTTAATTCCGGGGGGGGGGGGAATTAAATAATCTAAATACTTTAAATCCGAACCCCCCCTTTCGGATTTAAATTATTTAAACTATTTAATTCTCCCCCCCGGAATTAAAAAATTTAAATAATTTAAATAATTTAAATAAATTAAATCCGAAAAGGGGGGGGGCCAGGCCCGGGCCCCCCCTCCCTTCCCAGAATTAAATAATTTAAATACTTTAAATCCGAAAGGGGCGTTTCGGATTTAAATTATTTAAATTATTTAATTCTGGGAAGGGGGGGGGGCCTGGCCCGGCCTGCCCCCCCCCCCCCCCTTTTCGGATTTAAATTATTTAAATTATTTAAATTATTCAAAGTATTTAAATTATTTAAATTATTTAATTCCGGGGGGGGGAATTAAATAATTTAAATAATTTAAATCCGAACCCCCCCTTTCAGATTTAAGTTATTTAAATTATTTAATTCCCCCCCCGGAATTAAATAATTTAAATAATTTAAATAATTTAAATAAATTAAATCCGAAAAGGGGGTGGGGGGCAGGCCCAGGCCCCCTCCCCCTCCCAGAATTAAATAATTTAAATAATTTAAATCCGAAAGGGGCGTTCCGGATTTAAATTATTTAAATTATTTAATTCTGGGAGGGGGAGGGGGCCTGGGCCTGGCCCCTCCCCCTTTTCGGATTTAAATTATTAAATTATTTAAATTATTTAATTCCGGGGGGGGGAATTAAATAATTTAAATAATTTAAATCCGAACCCCCCCTTTCAGATTTAAATTATTTAAATTATTTAATTCCCCCCCCGGAATTAAATAATTTAAATAATTTAAATAATTTAAATAATTTAAATAAATTAAATAAATTAAATCCGAAAAGGGGGGGGGCCAGGCCCGGGCCCCCCCCCCTTCCCAGAATTAAATAATTTAAATAATTTAAATCCGAAAGGGGCGTTTCGGATTTAAGTTATTTAAATTATTTAATTCTGGGAAGGGGGGGGGCCCGGGCCTGGCCCCCCCCCCTTTTCGGATTTAAATGATTTAAATTATTTAAATTATTTAAATTATTTAAATTATTTAAATTATTTAAATTATTTAATTCCGGGGGGTGGAATTAAATAATTTAAATAATTTAAATCCGAACCCTCCCTTTCGGATTGAAATTATTTAAAATATTAAATTCCCACCCCCGGAATTAAATAATTTAAATAATTAATAAATTAAATCCGAAAAGGGGGGGTGGCCAGGCCCGGGCTCCCCCCCTTCCCAGAATTAAATAATTTAAATAATTTAAATCCGAAAGGGGTGTAAATTATTTAAATTATTTAAATTATTTAATTCCGGGGGGGGGGGGGGGGAAAATTAAATATTTTTAAATCCGAACCCCCCCCCTTTCGGATTTAAATTGTTTAAATTATTTAATTCCCCCCCCGGAAGTAAATAATTTACATAATTTAAATAATTTAAATAAATTAAATCCGAAAAGGGGGGGGGGCAGGCCCGGGCCCCCCCCCCTTCCCAGAATTATATAATTTAAATAATTTACATCCGAAAGGGGCGTTTCGGATTTAAATTATTTAAATTATTTAATTCTGGGAAGGGGGGGGGGCCTGGTCGGGCCTGCCCCCCCCCCCCCATTTCGGATTTAAATTATTTAAATTATTTAATTTATTTAAATTATTTAAATTATTTAAATTATGTAAATTATTTAAATTATTTAATTCCGGGGGGGGGGGAATTAAATAATTTAAATAATTTAAATCCGAACCCCCCCTTTCGCATTTAAATTACTTAAATTATTTAATTCCACCCCCTGAATTAAATAATTTAAATAATTTAAATAATTTAAGTAATTTAAATAATTTAAATAAATTAAATCCGAAAAGAGGGGGGGGGGGGCAGGACCGGGCCCCCCCCCTTCCCAGAATTAAATAATTTTAATAATTTAAATCCGAAACGCCCCTTTCGGATTTAAATTATTTAAATTATTTAATTCTGGGCAGACGTTGCGCGTGGACCTTGCCGTACTTCATCATGTCCCTCTTCTCGGCCTACTTCTGCTCTTTTCCTTACTCTTCTCCTTTTCATAAATTCTTCCTCTTTAGTTGTTCTTATTTCGAAAAGAAAGAGGGAAGGGAGAGATAAGGGAGATAGGATAGATAAAGAAGAGTGCCATCTTCTCTGCGCCTCGTTTTGTCTCTCCCTCTTCTCTATTCATCTCTCTTCTGTTCTTTTCTTTGCTATTCCACTGAAATTGGATTCCCTGTATCTCTCCTCTGTCCTTCTCTCTCGCTCCTCTTCTCCTGTTCCCCTCTAAACGATTGCTCTTTACAGATAGGTGCCCTCCCTCCTCGTCAGGAAATCTCTTTTCGCTTTTTTTGCTTTTTGAAGCGAATAAAACAACGGATAAGAGAGGAAAGGGAATGACTAAGTAAAGACAGGAGCTCTTCAATAGGTGCCCTCCCTCCTCTTCAGGAAATCTCTTTTCCCTTATTTTGCTTTTTGAAGCGAAGAAAACAACAGATAAGAAGAGAGGAAAGGGAATGACTAAGTAAAGAGAGGAGCTCTTCAATTTCCCTCCCTATATCTGATGTTACTTTTCCTTCTTGGGCGGCGCCCTTCTTTCTCCCTTGAAGATGCAGAAAACGATCAGGAAGGGCACCCGTTCCATCGCCCGTATATAGACAGAGATAAATCATGAGCATCAGCTGGGTTTGCTGCCGATCCAAAATGGGCGTCCCTTTTAATCGCCTTCTGTGTCTTGAAACGAGCAAAAGGGGCACCCTTACTAAGTGTTTTCTTGTAGTGTCCCTTTTCTTCGCTTGAAGACGCAGAAAACGATCCAAAAAGGACACCCGTTCCATCGCCCATATATGGGGACAGAGATAAATCATGAGCATCAGCTGGGTTTGCTGCCAATCCAAAATGGGCGCACCTTTTAATCGCTTGCTGTGTCTTCAAACGAGCAAAAGGGACAGCCTAAGTGTTTCCTTGTGGTGTCCCTTTTCTTCGCTTGAAGATGCAGAAAACGATCTAAAAGGACACCTGTTCCATCGCCCATATATAGGGAGAGAGAGAGAGAGAAATCATGAGCATCAGCTGGGTTGGCTGCCAATCCAAAATGGGCGTCCCTTTTAATCGCCTTCTGTGTCTTCAAACGAGCAAAAGAGACACCCTAAGTGTGCTCTTGTGGGGTGTCCCTTTTCCTCGCTTGAAGATGCAGAAAACGATCAAAAAGGACACCCATTCCATCGCCCATATATAGGGAGAGAGAGAGAGAGAGAGAGAGAGAATCATGAGCATCAGCTGGGTTGGCTGCCAATCCAAAATGGACGTCCCTTTTAATCGCTTTCTGTGTCTTCAAACGAACAAAAGAAAACACCTAGGTTCCTCACTTGAAGATCCAGAAAACGGCCCAACAAGGACACCCGTTCCATCGCCCATATATGGAGAGAGAGAGAGAGAGGGAGAAGGGAAAAAATCATGAGCATCAGCTGGGTTTGCTTACATGTTCATTGTTATTCCTTTTGTTTTTTTCTAACGGAAATGAACAAGAGAAGAGAAAAATAAGAACCAGAGGAAAGATGAAAACGAGCACCATCTTCTCTTTGCCTGACTTTTGCATTTCGCCTGTCCTCATTTCTCTTCCATTCTTTTCATTGCTCTTCCATTTAGAGTTGCATTCCTTTTGATCTCTCCTCTTTCCTTTCTCTCTCCCTTCTCTTCTCTTGTTCTCCTTTAAATCTCAAAAACACACAAAAGGAAGTTTCTTTTCCTTGTTGAATGAAGAATGAAAAAAGAAGAAAAGAGATAGGGAAAGAAATTGAAGAGCTCCACTGCCTATTGGTTCATTCCATTTCCTCTCTTTCTATGTGTTGTTTTCCTTGTCGTTTCAGAAAGCAAGCAAAATAAGGGCAAGGGG